AGAACCGTTATAATTACCTATACTGGTAAAGAAAGACTCACCTTTTTCTATTTTAATTAAAACACACCAAAAACGGCTCACCCTCAACCGTCAAATGGCAAGGATAACGAGCCTACTGATTTATTCAATGAGAAAACGGAAATGAAAGGTGCTGGATGGATGATGGATACGTGCGCAGACTCTAGTAATCAATTGAAGTACTAAAATTATTAAAAAATTAATGCACATTACTGTTACTTGTTCCAAAATGAAATAAAAATCTCCCGGATTAACTACAAATAGATTTAAAACAGATACGTTTTATTTTGTGCTAAATTTCAAAAATATACTACCTTCTCAAACGCTTATTGATCGGATGTACTGGGAGATATTGATTCAATTGTAATTCGCAAGTGGGAAAACTCTTTTAAATTTCGTGCCAAAAGTTTTAATGCATTAAAAAAATACTTTCTTTTGTAAATTCTATGAAATATTTTGTATAAACTTTAATGAACAAGCACAGTACGTTATGTTTATAGTTTATCTACATATAAAATATATTACTAAATATTTTGAACGTAATTTTTAATTTTTGACGCATCAAAATCAATAAAAACTGTTTAAAATAGGTAATAAAGTTAATTCATTATCATATTACCAGATAGATAAATAAATATACATCAAATAAATTTATTTTTCACTATTATGTATTTATTTTTGAATCTACATACAGTAAAAATACATACAAGCACAATTATAAATGGCACAATAAATACGTGTGTTATTCTACATCTATCAACGTAAAAAAATCAAGAAATTTAATGAACATTTTGATATGCATAAGCGTACACTAAATTAAAGTATTTTTTAACAGTTATCACAAAATTGTCTAAGAAACTAAATTTTTTCGCGGCAATTTTCATGTGAATAATACAAAGGAATATTTTGTACTTTGTACAACTTGAGTGTATGAGCATACAAATTAATAAAGTAAATTAATTCCTGAAATTTGGTGTCCCGACTATATCCTGACATAATAAATTAACAAAATGGAAAAATATTCGAATATATTTCACCTATAACCGTCGTAAAATGTTTCTTTGCGTTTCGCGTATTTGTTTTAACGTCTCGAGAAGACCATGGACTTCACTTTCTAAATCGTCAATTTTTTTTACCAAACGTTTAATCTTATTTTCATCAGTTTCGGTGTAAGTAGAATTTAAATAACTTCCTCGAGGAGAATATTCATTCGCATCTCTTCGAGTTCTACCAAATCGGCTTATTGTGTTAAATTGAGTCGATGCCCTACAATCATTACAACATTCTGTCCACAATCTCAAGTCCACCTTTGGAACCTTAGAACAACTTACATAACCACCCTGGCGTTCTGGCAATAAGAAAGAATTCTGAGTAACTCTAGTTATGTTATCTCCATTATCGCAAAGAACTCTACTGACAGAATACTGTTTAATTTGGACGAGTTGTTCGGGTTTGAACACCGATGGATTCTCATACCAAAATCTGTCTCCATCTCTGAGACGTCGAAATTGTTCAACGAGCAAACACCTGAATAGGGGTCCCACTCTACCACCGGGAACAGGGTCTTCCAAAACTCCTCCTACGAACACATCAATGTTTCCCGGATGACCGTACAAATCCTTCAATTTCCTCCTGATTTCCGGATCGGTTATTTCGTCTCGTAAGTCGTTGAAAGTGTCTACTTCGCTCATGTTGCAAAATTTCCTGAACTCTATGTACCCTGGAATCGCGTGGTCTCTGCTCCTCTGGATGTTCATTGCCGCCAAGTCCAGAGCAACAGCATGAGCCGATTCAAAAAGACGTTCCGTCAGTTCGGCATTCAGGTTCTCGTTTGGTTTTTTGACTTTCGCAGCCACCGTGAAGAACCCTCTTAAAAGGGGGTCAATACCACCTTCATCGACTACTCTCCAAGGTGAAAAGAAAGCCTTATGAAGCGGTAAATGACCCTCGTTTATGGGACTGAAAGACGAGTCCAGTCTATGTAACACTGGGTTTATCAAGGTATGACCAAATCTTAAAGCAGCCGTAGCAAAAACATTAGAAATGGAAGGATTGAGCTTTGGATTGTATTCCTTGTATTCTCCAAGCATTTCAAGTCCTTCCTTGCCAATTATGTAGGGAAGCCAAAGTTTGTAAGTTATGTGTTGCATGGCAGCACTCACGATCTTTCTGGCTTCTTGATAGAGAGTCTCTCCATCCCAATGAGGATTATATCTGTACAATTCATCTGCAATTCTGTTGTGTTCTCTCATCCATACAGTATGCATAGCGATCAACCCTACCTGTTCATTAGCGCGGATGTCTCCAGCCAAAAAGCAGTTGATGGAGCTTTCTGACAGATTTCTGCGACAATCCATTGCATCGCCGTTGGCAAAGGGCAGTAATGGTTTTCCGTTTCCTATAACACGACCCGTTCTCAAATAACCGTGATCGTTGGTCAAGTCACGCAGATCTCTGGCTAGCTCTTCCGAAAATCCATACACTTGGGATGCGTCAATGTAAGAGGTTAACTGATTAATTTGTTCTCGTGGTTGCACCGTACCGAAAAAGACTGACGTCATTCCGGAACCGCAAATCGACGATGTTCTGATAAAATCGATACATCGCCTATTTTGTATTCGGGGATCGTTAGGAGGGACGTCCATGGGAAAGCAAGGAGCCGCGTAGTCGCAAGACTTTTTACAATCGATACCGTCCCAACTTTGAGAACTGACCGAAGGCAAAGCGTGATCCAAGTCGTGGTCTAAAAACTGACCCCACTGCATCACCATGTGTGTAATTTGGTCGTCAGATGAAATTGTTTTGGTTGAAAGGAGAGTTGTTGAAACGAGCCTCGAGCTGGGTTTCTTGAACCCGTAGTATTTAGTTTCACTGTTCCAACCTATGGGTGTACTGAAACCGTTTTCGTAAATGGGTTTAAGAATTCTTCTGAATCCGGTCAGTGACGCTCCCCACGTGGGGTTCTGTAGATTGTTACACGTTCCATCAATTGATCTATACTTCTTGTGATAACACATATCGGTGCAGTTTCGAGCTCTTCTGTGAGCCGTGCAGCCGGAAAGTTTGGCTACCAGTTCGAGATGTTCAGGAGACAGAATTTCTCTGTAATTAAAGTCGCTGGCAAGGTTTGCAGACATTCCTCGTTCGACGTGCTTTCTTATATTCACAAGCGTTCTTTCGTACACTTCAGCAGCCCTCGCAAGTTCACGAGCCGGGGCATTAGGATACCGAATGATACGAAATATGTCCGCGGATGTTCTCGTCGCATTTGGATTGTTAAAGAGGAAATCGATGGTATTATTTATGGCTCTGTCGACTTCGTCTGTGGCTTCGGCGAACGCTATTTTTACAAATTTGTCGCCCAAATTTATCCCTGAGTTGTGACGTTGCTGTTTAACTGTCAGATAGCCAGATGCCGATATCGAACCATGATCATTGATCGCGGTGCATTCGTATCGTCCGGCATCGTCTGGTTGTACGTTGTAAATGTAGAGATTGCCACCGATTGATATTCTGAATCTTCCAGTTCTTTGCATGGTGGATCCATCTTTACGCCATTGTATTCCAGGGGTTGGGATTCCTTCACTCTTGCACGGTAATTCTATTGTACCCCCCAAAACTGCTTCGATATCGTACGGCTTGTAGATCAAAATTGGTGGTTTTTCTTTCTCTTCATGGGCCAGTACCTTTACGTTTGCGCTGGTCTCCCTTTTGCCCATATTGTTTTTGGCTTCGCATATGTACAAACCGGAATCAGAATCTTCAACGTGTTGTATTTCCAAAACGGTTTTATCAGGTGTAAATCTGATCCTTGCCGATTCCGTCAACTGTATGTTTTCTTTGAACCAGGTGATTTGGGGAAATGGGGATGCCACAGCGGCACATTCCAGTCTCAGTGTAGCCCCCCGTTGCACATCTGCACTTTGGGGGTGTATTGTGAATGATGGTGCAGTATTTATATTCACCACTGCACTAGTACTGACTCTTCCGTGGACGTTAGAGGCATCACATTGATAAATACCATCGTCTGATGGTTCTACCGTTCGAATTACCAAATTTCCTCCATTTTCTAAGAAGCGTCTCGAATCTAAAGCTAGTGTGATGCCGTTTTGAGACCAAGTAATTACAGGTTTGGGGTTCCCAATCGCCTTGCAGTTTAATTTAATTTCTCTAGCTCCAACAGACGTGTCCACTTTTTGCGGGCGAACTACAAACGTCGGCTTCTGAGGGTCTGAAAACAAGAAATCCTGTTTAACAATACTGGACGAAGTAAAAGAAGAGGAAGGAGATGATGATCAATCGTTCTGAAATTTACCTACCGGCATCTCTATATTCATTGTCATTATCTTTAACGACGATCATCTTTGCTGGTTGCGAATGAACTTCACCTTGAGGGCTTTTTACCATGCACTCGTAAGTGCCCTCGTCTTTATCTTCAGAATTTTTAATCATCAATGATCCATCATCCATTATCTTGTATCTATCGTCTTGTTCAATAAGGACTTCATTTTTCATCCATTCCACTGATGTAGAAGGTCCTTCTACTTTACAAGTAAATACTGCTATCCCACCCCAGGACACTTCTACATCCCTTGGACCTTGAATGATTCCAGGTTTTTCTAAAAGCAAAAAAATATGAAGCGAATAATTGAGTGACCATTGCTGTGTATGGACTCACCACAATGCACATCCTGTGCGCTCATTTCCGTGAGGGACTTTCCGTACATTTCGTCTGGATACTTGCACCTGGCACCTGTGTGAACTGAATTTTGTTCCAGCATTTTAGTTACCATCAGTAAATCGCAATCACATACCAGAGCATTCGAATCTAAACGTAATCTCGATAATTTTGGAAGTCCTTCAAATGAACCCATGAGTATATGACTGATTTTGTTATTATGAAGAAATCTGAAAATCAACTAAATTAAATTTATCAATATTTAGGCCTTCTCGTATAGAAAAATAAATAAATTGGTGTCTCATTTTGTAATGTTCTGACTTTATTTCAAGTTGTGAAAGTACGTATATTATTTCGACCTACAGGCGACTCAGGGAGGGAAGATTTGTGAATGTTTTTGCGTCGAACTCTTGGATTTCGTTCCCATATAAATATCTGAAAATAGAAATCATAAATAAGGAAGTAAATTTTAAAAACGATAGATTTTCATCTCAGTTCTAATTATTTTCTTTTTTTTTTTTTTGGTTGGTTGTGAGTATTAGACAATTCATCCGGTCATGTTTTACACAAATGTTAGTTTATTTATTCAAATCGTTTCAATTTCTTCGAAAAGAGTTAACGGATGGTAACGACTGATATACGTTATCGAAACTCAAATAACTTACAAGTACTCCAGTTTGTATAGTCCATGGAATACTTCCGGTTCGATGTAACGTATTCTATTTTTATGGAGAGACAGATGCTTGAGTTGAGCCAGTCCTGTAAACGCGCCATTTCGCAAGCTGCTAAGCAAATTATCGTTCAGCAGGAGCGATTTCATATACACATGGTGTTGAAAGATTCCTGGATGTATGTCCCTGATTTTGTTGAACTTCAAATCTCTGAAAATATGAAATTTGGAAAATTTTCGAAGCTTCTGTGTATACACACAATAATGATTTTAATGAGGTCCAAAAAAAATTGCGTTCTTTTGGGATCCGTCCAATGGGAGGAGCCTAAAGAACATGGCGCCGATTAGGGAAAATTTATCGTAGTTCCTATAGTGTACCGTGCAATTTCCAAGTTTTTAAATTACGATAAAATGATAACTATTGCCTCGGAAAGTAGTTAATGTAGGTGAAGAGTGAAGATCTATGTTTGAAGTGCTATTGCAGCTTTTCACTGAACATATTAACTTTTTATTTGATTTAACTTTAGAGGAAAACTTCGTCGACTCCATCATCAAAAAATTTTTACTTTTTTAACGTATTTTATTATTTTAATAAACAATTTTACAATTTGCGTGCACAGTTCCTATGTAAATTTTTCCCTCATTCGAGTTATAAATTTTGCCACCAGATGGTGTATGCCCATTTGACGGATCCCATTAGTAGATACTACACTTAGTTATTAGCCACAGAATACAGGAAACTGTGACAAATTTTTTAATTGTCAAATAAAACAGTTTCACAAAAAAATGAAAAGTTAAAGCAAAATTTTTAGTAATGACTACAACTGATTCAGACCAATATAAATTTATAAGTGGCAAAATAAATGACCATCCACTCTCTTCAAGTGATGATCGACGACTTACTAAATGCAAGGAGTGTAAAAGAAAATTTGGGTCATCGTGGCTCCTTGAACACTTTGACCATCCCGTGTGCGATGTTTGTAAAAATGCGGGGTCAGCTAAATTAATACCTAAAGATCAAGCTTTACGTGAATACGTCCTGAAGGATAAAGATTTAAGTAAAACGAAACCCCCTTTAAAATTCATTTCGCATCGGAACCCACAGAAATTTAAAGGAGCTACAAAATTGTATTTGCAATGTCAGGTAGAACAAAGAGCTTTGGACGTGTGGGGAAGCTTGGAAAGAATACAAGAAGAATTAATATGTCGACAAACGTCTAAGATAAGCACAACTAAGAAAAAAGCTGACAAAGAAAAAAAACAACCACCAGAAAACATTGAGAAAAAGGAAATACCTCACATTCATCATTTTGGTACGGAAATGTTCAATGAGTCTGATGATACATATTTTCATAAATGTCTTACATGTGATTTCAAAGAAGTCTTTGAAAGAATCTGACACACTTCAAAAATAATGCAAATTCGGCTGACATTAAATTAAACGTTGTAAAGTTAAAAAAATATATTCATGTTCCACTAAAAGCATTATTTATTTAACAGATAGAGGCACCTCTTAGAGTAATCAAAACCTCACTTCTAATCTTTCTGTAGTTATAACATTTGGAATATCTTCTTTTTTTGTTTTAATTCAAGGAAATTCCCATATATATAGGTACAGTTGTATTTTATAACTTAAGACTTGAGTAGAAGTAGTAAGGGCGAAATTAGACCAAATTAGACTTTTGTTCACAAATAGAGATGCAGGTTACTGTAGTATGGGAGAAATTTTACTTCAAGATTGGAGGAAGTGGAGGTACGTGTCCAAAACTAAAAACGATGATACAGGCATTCAACTTTTCTTGATACCCGAGTTGGTACCTACGACACAAAGAACTCAAGAAGTTTATACCTAAGTAAATTCCTATTTTGTTAATAGCTCCTTTGACGATTTTATCTTCAAGAGCCATTGTTTGGTCTGGCACGCCTGCTTCTCTTTGTCATCATTAAGATGAATTTCACTGAACATACTACATTAAAATAGGGTAAACATTAAATTGCAACAGTTTATAGTTTATAAATCGCAAACAGTTGTTATTAAAATTGACTTTACAAGTTATTATTCCAATATTCTTAACATGTTTCTTTTTTCTATGTGGAACTCCAAAAAAAGAAAATGTTCTTTACAACTCCCGATTTAAGAAAATTAAAAAATTTTCACTTTTATTAAAAATATTCTGTTTTGGACTTTTCACTCCTCTAAATAAACTTACTTTAGTCACAAAATATACATATTTGTGTCAATGAGTAAATGCCATCAACAAAAAGAAATAGAATTTGTAAGGTTTCTTTAGTATCTATTAATTAATTCAAAAAATATTCACCCAGTATATGTATGGAGGTATGTACATGTATTTATAGTAGGTTAATGTCATGGTCAAATTTAAATTAAATTATTTATCTGTGTCTGGTGTCAGTAAGACTGGAAAGCACAATTTTAACGAAAACCATATGTTTTAAGAAGTGAAGTCGAAATTAATTACTGCAAACAGAAATGTAGGTTAATCAGCCTAGCAGTAGCCTTGAGAAATCCAACAACTTGGGCGAAACGTCGGTTGTGATTTTTTAAATAAATAAAGTACGTTTAACCCAAATATTGTTTTGATTAATATAACTAATCATCTGCTTCATAAATAAATAATCCTTTAATAAATCTTATCTCTGTACCTATAGTAATCTTATTATTATACTTATTCCTTAAAAATTAATAGACAAAAGTTAAGGCATAATCTGATCTTAAGTCTACAAATCTGAAATCCGTCCAAGTAAAGTCCTAGTCCAAATTCATGTACATTTACATTAATTGTTTTACTGTTAAGGATGCATTTTAACTAAATATAAAAGATACATACTTATATATATATGTTATGTAAACATTGCTGATCTCATCGAAATAAAAAAGATTAAGATTATCAGTTTTCATGGCCTGGTAGTAAGCACTTGTTAAATAATTCGTTTATAAACCCATAATGTGACAAAGGCTTTATACATACTTGACCTTGTCTCAATTCCGAAATGATGCTATACGATGTGCATTCAATTAGCAATTTTAAAAAATCATGTGTCACCAGTTAAAGATGGAACATTATTTTATTTAGGTACCGCATTTTATTTATAAAAACACATGTAGAAAAGAAAATTGCTAAGCCAAAACAAAGTCAGATACTCTGATACTTAACAGACGCTGAATGATGTTTATAACATGCCTCAGATTTAGTGTGTAAAATACCCCAAAAAAATAAATATATCGCTTTATTAATAGAAGGAACATTAAAAAATTGTTTGACCACACATACATTTATTTTTGGGTAGTTAAGAAAATAATTATACTGTTAAGTTGAGAATGAACATCCGATAAAATAATTGTAAGTACAGTGTTTATTAGGACAGACGAATGAACTAGAAGATACGTAGATATATTTTAATTTTTACCTAAGAAACCATCCGGAAAACCATTCCTTTATCAATCGCCAATTTTTTTTCTATTAAAATCGGGCTTTTTTTGATTAGGAGGAGACCTTATTTGATAAGACTTACTGAAACGTCTCTTGATTGTGGACTTCGAGAATTTGAAAAAGATTGTTAAAGGTGTATGTTCGGAGCGCGGCGCTATACGGGTGCGAAACATGGACGGAGAGCGCAGGGGAAAAGAAAGTTTTCGAAATGTGGTGTCTCAGACGAATGATGAGGATGCCGTGGATAGAGAAGGTTAGAAATAAAGAGATATTAGAAAGAATAGGAGAACAGAGGACTCCATGGAAGTCAATAAGAAATAGGCGGGATAGGTTGGTAGGACACCTTTTTAGGCATGAAGGTCTAGCCAGAGACATATTAGAGGCAGAAATGGAAGTTAAGAGGGGTAGAGGTAGACCTAGATTAGATTACTGTTCGCAAATAGTTAAGGATGTGGGTTGTTCTAGTATTTAGGGAAATGCTCAGGATAGGAAAGAGTGGAGGTGCGTGTCCAACCAGTCTTAGGAATGACGACCTTATGATAATGATGAAGATAGAACAAAAATAAAATAAACGTCTATTTGTCTTCCCAAAATGGTTCAAATTTTCTGCTCTGATGTTAAATGATTCTTCGCTGCAGGAAAATCTTGTTGCAGACATATAGAATTATTCAAAACATCCCTCTCGCTAAAAATTACATCAAAATCTTTAAAGACTTGAGAAAACAATTATATAAGGCAAGACTAAATACCTAAGGAACACGAAAAGCTGCATTTTGAAAATGACGTGGTGTTTTAAAATAGAAATCAAAATCAGAACTTTAAAATTAGCAGACGCGTGTACGCAATTTGTATTACAAAACAGTACAGTAACTTTAATGGATGATTTCACAACTGAATTTTATAGCTATGTACAATAGTAAAACTCAAGCACATTATAAATGTTCATGTATCGCGTTTTCTAACCAGTTATTACTTTTTTATTTCCGGTTGAATCCATACTTTAACAATGGTACCAATGTACACACCTTTCGTTTTAACTCATTGTACTAAATCGATGATTTATGAACAAAACGTTCGAAGGGCGTCAGTTATTTCCGCCTAGTACAGTTTGCATTTGCTTTCTCAAAATCATTCAATGAATGCTCAACAAGTTCAAACTGCTGTAAATTTTACTTTTAAATTTATATAAATGTCATGTCGATGATCTAAACCTGTCCTGTTACAGAGGAATAATTTGTTGTTAAATTGTAGACATTTGTAATGTTTGAACGTAAAAACACAGAGCCAAAAATTTTTGAGACTTGAAAACCTGTCTTAACCCAACCTAACTGTCGAACAGTTTGAGACTATCTTCACATTTGTGAATTAAACTCAAAACTTAAGTATGTATGCGACAGAGTCTACATAATAAGAACAATATTGGATGCCTAATTAGTTACTGATTTATTAATAGTTGTTGTGGTTGTACAGTTCTTCGGGTTAAGGTAGATATGTCTTCCGTACTATAGATTATGGAAGATTAAAAATTAGCACACAGAAACCTTCATTGTGTACCATGCACAATGTATCAAATGTACCTACCTATGCCACCATTAATAGATCATATAACGGTCGTTGACATTTGGTCTTTCTGCTTTTGAGACCATCAAGGTGTATCATACAGCATTCCGCCCGAGGATATCTTTCAGTCTTTGCGTATACATATTATAATCACAAATTTAGACCAGCATCATAAACTTTAATCGTTTTGTTTCTCAAT